CTAGCAGTATGGTTGTCAAGGTGTGCATTCAACGTACAGATTTAAACTGATGTGTATCTCAGACGGTTCAGAAACCCTTTCTTTGGTGAATCCAGAAACCGATATTTCCAGCCATATACTGGCATATAAGGGTTAGCAGAAAGACTGTGTCTAAAACACAGGAGGAACGAATATTTCAAAATGTTCTGCTGTGTGTTGGTTCATCTTAGGATGTTGCATCTATGTTTAGATTCAGAGAGTTGGAAACACGTTTCTTCTAAAAGCTGCGTTTGGGTACTCCAGAGTGAATGGGAGTATAAGCTGTAATGAGAAACATCTGGCTCTAAAACAAAAACGGACACTATGGCAGAATGGTTTTCAAGGTGTACATTCAACTTACAGAGTAAAACTGATGTGTGTATGTAGCAGTTCAGAAACACTTTCTTTGGAGAATCCAGAAATGGATATTTCCAGCTATATACAAGCACATAAAAATTAGCAGTATGACTGCGTCTAAAACACAGAAGAAACACATATTTCAAACCGCTGTGCTTGCGATTGTTCACCTTAGGAAGTTGCATCCATGTTTATATTCAACGAGTTGAAAACACGTTTCTTCTAAAAGCTGCATTTGGATATTCCAGAATGTATGGGAGTCTATGGTTTAATGAGAAATATCTGACTCTAAAAAAAAACGGAGCTCTCTAGCAGAATGGTTTTCAAAGTGTACATTCAACTTACAGAGTAAAACTGATGTGTGTATGTAGCAGTTCAGAAACACTTTCTTTAGAGAATCCAGAAATGGATATTTCCAGCTATATACAAGCATATAAAAATTAGCAGTAAGACTGCGTCTAAAACACAGAAGAACCACATATTTCAAACTGCTCTGCTGTGAGTTTGTTCACCTTAGGAAGATGCATCTATGTTTAGCTTCAGCGAGTTGGAAACATGTTTCTTCTAAGAGCTGCGTTGGGATATTCCAGAGTGAATGAAAGTGTATGGTATAATGAGAAATATCTGGCTGTAAAACAAAAACGAAGCTATCTAGCAGAATGGTTGTCAAGGTGTACATTCAACTTATAGAGTTAAACTGATGTGTGTCTCTAGCAGTTCAGAAACCTTTTCTTTGGAGAATTCAGAAACGGATATTTCCAGCTATATACTGGCATAAAAGAATTAGCAGTAAGACTGTGTTTAAAACACAGAAGAAACACATATTTCAAACCGCTCTGCTAGGTTTGTTCAACTTAGGAAGTTGAGTCTATGTTTGCATTCAGCGAGTTGGAAACACGTTTCTTCTAAAATCTGCGTTTGAATCCTCCAGAGTGAATGGGAGTATAGGCTGTAACGAGAAATATCTGGCTCTAAAACAACAACGGAGCTCTCAAGCAGAATGATTGTGAAGGTTTACATTTAACTTACGGAGTAAAACTGATATTTCTCTAAAGCAATTCAAAAACATTTTCTTTTTAGAATTCAGAAATGGATGTTTCCAGCCATATACAGGCATATAAGACTTAACAGTAATACTGAGTCTTAAACAAAGAAGAAGCATATATTTCAACCTACTCTGTTGTGTGTTTGTTCCCCTAGGAAGTTGCGACTATGTTTACATTCAGCGAATTGGAAAGGCCTTTTTTCTAAAAGCTGCGTTTGGATACTCCAGAGTGAATGGGAGCATAAGGTGTAATGAGAAATATCTGGCTCTAAAACAAAAGCAAAGCTATCCAGCAGAACGGTTGTCAAGGTGTGCATTCAACTTACAGAGTTAAACTGATGTGTGTCTCTAGCAGTTCAGAAAATTTTTCTTTGGAGAAGCTGGAAATGGATATTTCCAGCCATATACAGGCACATAAAAATTAACAGTAAGACTGCACCTAAAACTCAGGAGAAACGAATATTTCGAACTGCTCTGCTGTGCATTGGTTTATCTTAGGAAGTTGCATCTATGTTTAGATTCAGCGAGTTGGAAACACGTTTCTTCTAAAAGCTACGTTTGGATATTCCATAGTGAATGGGAGAATATGGTGTAATGAGAAATATCTTGCTCTAAAACTAAAGCGCAGCTATCTAGCAGAATGGTTGCCAAGGTGTGCATTCAACTTACAGATGTAAACTGATGTGTGTCTAGCGGTTCAGAAACCCTTTCTTGAAGAATCCAGAAATGGATATTTCCAGCCATATACAGGCACAAAAGAATTAGCAGTAAGACTGCATCTAAAAGTCAGGAGAAACGAATATTTCAAACTGCTCTGCTGTGTGTTGGTTTATCGTAAGGAGTTGCATCTATATTTACATTCAGCGAGTTGGAAACACGTTTCTTCTAAAAACTCCGTTTGGACATTCCAGAGTGAATGAGAGAATATGGTGAATTGAGAAATATCTGGCTCTAAAACAAAAGCGGAGCTATCTAGCAGAACGATTGTCAGGGTGTGCATTCAACTTACAGAGATAAACTGATGTGTGTCTCTAGCAGTTCAGAAACCCTTTTCTTCTTAGAATCGAGAAATGGATATTTCCAGCCATATATAGGCACATAAGAATTAGCAGTAAGACTGCATCTAAAACTCCAGAGAAACGAATATTTCAAACTGCTCTGCTGTGTGTTGGTTTATCTTAGAAAGTATCATCTATGATTAGATTCAGCGAGTTGGAAACACGTTTCTTCTAAAAGCTGCTTTTGGATATTCCAGAGTGAATGGGAGTATATGGTGTAATGAGAAATATCTGGCTCTAAAACAAAAGTGGAGTTTTCTAGCAGAACGGCTGTCAAGGTGTGTATTCAACATACAGAGTTAAATTGAGGTGTGTCTCTAGCAATTCAGAAACCCTTTCTTTAGAGAATCCAGAAATGGATATTTCCACCCATATACAGGCACGTAAAAATTAGCAGCAAGACTGCATCTAAAACTCAAGGGAAAGTAATATTTCAAACTGCTCTGCTGTGTGTTGGTTTATCGTAGGAAGTTGCATCTAGGTTTAGATTCAGCCAGTTGGAAACACGTTTCTACAAAAAGCTGCATTTGGATATTCCAGGCTGAATGGGAGTATATGGTGTAATGAGAAATATCTGGCTCTAAAACAAAAACGGAGCTCTCTAGCAGAATGGTTGTCAAGGTGTTCATTCAACTTATAGAGTAAAACTGATGTGTGCATGTAGCAGTTCAGAAACACTTTCCTTGGAGAATCCAGAAATGGATATTTCCAGCCATATAACGGCATATAACAATTAGCAGTAAAACTCCGTCTAAAACACAGAAGAAACACGATTCAAACTGCTCTGCTGTGTGTTTGTTCACCTTAGGAAGTTGCATCTATATTTACATTCAGCGAGTCAGAAACACCTTTCTTCTAAAAGCTGCGTATGGATATTCCAGAGTGAATGGGAGTATAAGGTGTAATGAGAAATATCTCGCTCTAAAACAAAAACGGAGCTATCTAGCCGAATGATTGTCAAGGCATACATTCAACTTACAGAGATAAACTGATGTGTGTCTGTAGCAGTTCAGAAACCCTTTCTTTGGACAATCCAGAAACGGATATTTCCAGCCATATACAGGCATATAAGTTTTAGCAGTAAGACTGCGTCTAAAACACATCAGAAACGAATATTTCAAATTGCAGTGCTGTGTGTTTTTTTTATCTTAGGAAGTTGCATCTACATTTAGATTCAGCGAGTTGGAAACACGTTTCTTCTAAAAGCTGCCTTTGGATATTGCAGAGTGAATTAGAGTATAAACTGTAATGAGAAATATCGGGCTCTAAATCAAAAGCGGAGGACTATTTCAGAATGGTTGTCAAGGTCTACATTCAACTTACGGAGGAAAACTGATGTTTGCATGTAGCAGTTCAGAAACACTTTCTTTGGAGAATCCAGAAATGGATATTTCCAGCCATATACAGGCATATAAGAATTAACAGTATGTCTGCGTCTAAAACACAGAAGAAACACATATTTCAAACTGCTCTGCTGTGTGTTGGTTCAACTTAGTAAGTTACACCTATGTTTAGATTCAGCGAGTTGGAAACACGTTTCTTCTTCTTTTTTTTTTTCTTGTCTTGTTCACCTTAGGAAGTTCTTTCAATGTTTACATTCAGCGAGTTGGAAACACGTTTCTTCTAAATCCTGCTTTTGGATATTCCAGAGTGAATGGAAGTATAAGGTGTAATGAGAAATATCTGGCTCTAAAACAAAAACGGAGCTATCTAGCTGTATGGTTGTCAAGGTGTACATTCAACTTACAGAGTTAAATTGATGTGTGTCTCTAGCAGTTCAGAAACCCTTTCTTTGGAGAATCCAGAAAGGGGTATTTCCAGCCATATACAGGCATATAAGAATTAGCAGTAAGATTGCGTCTAAATCACAGAAGAAACACATATTTCAAACTGCTCTGCTGTGTGTTTGTTCAACTTAGGACGTTGCGTCTATGTTTACATTCAGCGAGTTGGAAACACGTTTCTTCTAAAAGCTGCGTTTGGATATTCCAGAGTGAATGGGACTATAAGCTGTAATGAGAAATATCTGGCTCTAAAACACAAACGGAGCTCTCTAGCAGAGTGATTGTCGAGGTGTACATTCAACTTACAGAGTAAAACTGATGTGTGTATGTAGCAGTTCAGAAACCCTTTCTTTGGAGAATCCAGAAATGGACATTTCCAGCCATATACAGGTATGTAAGAATTAGCAGGAAGACTGCTCCTAAAACACAGAAGAAACACATATTTCAAAGTGCTCTGCTGTGTGTTTGCTCACCTTAGTACGTTGTGTCTATGTTTATATTCAGCAAGTTGGAAACACGTTTCTTCTTCTTCTTCTTTTTTTTTTTTCAAAGGAAGGTTCCTTTAAGTTTCATCTTAGGAAAACAGAGACACTCCCTGAAAGCGTGCAGGGCACTCCTGGGCACCCAAGTCATTTTCTACTCCAGAGGATATGGAGGAAAGGGCTAGAGGGAAACAAAGGGCCTGAAGGGAAAGGAGGAAAGGCAGCCTCTAGCCTTATGTAATGCACACCCCTTGGATTATGTTCCAAAGAGGAAAGGAGGCAGAAGGAAGAGAAACTCCAAGGTGACGTCTGCTCCAGGACAAGATGATGGAGAGGTGGGGATGCTGTCCTGCCATCCCTTCTCATGTAAGTCACTCAGCTCCTTGTCATCCTTTCGGTGCTTGTGGGTGAAGAGGGAGACGACAGGGAAAAGCTTGGCTTTGGCCAGGAAGTGGTATCCTGGGATATCAATCTCATACTCTTCCCGGTTGATGAAATCTGCTGTCGCCACCTGATCTTCCCCCGTGTCCTCAGAAAAATTGTCCACAAAGGCCAGGCAAACGTGGTGCTCCAGGCTGTAGCTGTAGGCATGGCTGGTTGTCTTGCCAACAAACTGCCCATTTCGGTAAATGGGCTCTCCGCAACAAGGCCAAAGGTCTAGGTCTGTGTCATGGTCGTCCAGGATGAACATGGTGAAGCGTTTATACACGTTTCTTCTAAAAGCTGCTTTTGGATATTCCAGAGTGAATGGGAGTATATGGTGTAATGAGAAATATCTGGCTCTAAAACAAAAACGGAGCTATCAAGCAGAGTGGTTGTGAAGGTGTACATTCAACTTACAGAGTTAAACTGATGTGTGTCTCTAGCATTTAAGAAACCATTTCTTTGGAGAATCCAGAAACGGATATTTCCAACCACATACAGGCATATAAGAATTCGCAGTAAGACTGTGTCTAAAACACAGAAGAAACGAATATTACAAACTGCTCTGCTGTGTGTTTGCTCAACTTAGGACGTTGCGTCTATGTTTACATTCAGCGAGTTGGAAACACATTTCTTCTAAGAGCTGCGTTTGGATATTCCAGAGTGAATGGGACTATAAGCTGTAAGGAGAAATTTCTGAAACTAAAGCAACAAAAGAGCTCTCTATTAGAATGGTTGTCAAGGTGTACATTCAACTTACACAGTTAATCTGATGTGTGTCTCTAGCAGTTCAGAAACACTTATTTTGGAGACTCCAGAAACAGATATTTCCAGGAATATTCAGGCATATTAGAATTAGCAGTAAGACTGCGTCTAAAACTCAGGAGAAATGAATATTACAAACTGCTCTGCTGTGTGTTGGTTCAACTTAGGAAGTTGCATCTATGTTGAGATTCAGCGAGTTGGAAACACGTTTCTTCTAAAAGCTGCGTTTGGATATCCCAGAGTGAATGAGAGTATAAGCTGAATGAGATATATCTGGCTCTAAAACAAAAACGGAGCTCTCTAGCAGAATGGTTGTCAAGGTGTACATTCAACTTACAGACTAAACTTGATTTGTATATGTAGCAGCTCAGAAGCACTTTCTTTGGAGAATCCAGAAATGGGTATTTCCAGCCATATACAGGCATATAAGAATTATCAGTAAGTCTGCATCAAAAACAGAGAAGAAACACCATATTTCAAACTGCTCTGCTGTGTGTTTGTTCACCTTAGGAAGTTACGTCTATGTTTACATTCAGATCGTTGGAAACACTTTTCTTCTAAAAGCTGTGTTTGCATATTCCAGAGTGAAGGGGAGTATATGGTGTAATGAGAAATATCTGGCTCTTAAAAAAAAAGGAGCTATGTAGCCGAATGGTTGTCAAGGAGTAGGTTCAACTTACAGAGTTCAACTGGTGTGTGTCTGTAGCAGTTCAGAACCACTTTCTTTAGAGAATCCAGAAATGTATATTTCCAGCCATATACAGCCATGTAAGAATTAGCAGTAAGACTGCGTCTAAAACACAGAAGAAATACATATTTCACACTGCTGTGCTGTGTGTTTGTACATCTTAGGAAGATGAGACTATGTTTACATTCAGGGAATTTTAAACAAGTTTCTCTTAAAGCTGCGTTTGGATATTCCAGGGTGATTGGGAGTATACGGTGTAATGAGAAATATCTGCCTCTAAAACAAAAGCGGAGCTATCTAGCAGAAAGGTTGTTAAGGTGTACATTCAACTTACACAATTAAACTGATGTGTGTCTCTAGCAGTTCAGAAAGCGTTTCTTTGGAGACTCCAGAAACGGAAATTTCCAGCCATATACAGGCATTTAAGAATTAGCAGCATGACTGCGTCTAAAACACAGGAGAAACGAATATTTCAAACTTTTCCACTGTGTGTTGGTTCACCTTAGGAAGTTGCATCTATGTTTAGATTCAGAGAGTTGGAAACACGTTTCTTCTAAAAGCTACGTTTCGATATTCCAGAGTGAATGGGAATATAAGCTCTAATGAGAAATATCTCGCTCTAAAACAAAAACGGAGCTCTCTAGCAGAATGGTTGTCCAGGTGTACATTCAACTTACAGAGTAAAACTGATGTGCGTATGTAGCAGTTCCAAAACACTTTCTTTGGAGAATCCAGAAATGGATATTTCCAGCCATATACAGGCATATAAGAATTAGCTGTAAGACTGCGTCTGAAACACAGAAGAAACATATATTTCAAACTGCTCCGCTGTGTTTGCTGACCTTAGGAAGTAGCGTCTATGTTTACATTCAGCGAGTTGGAAACACGTTTCTTCTAAAAGCTGCGTTTGGATATTCCAGAGTGAATGGGAGTATATGGTGTAATGAGAAATATCTGGCTCTAAAACAAAAACTGAGCTATCTAGCAGAATGGTTGTCAAGGTGTACATTCAACTTACAAAGTTAAACTGATGTGTGTCTCTAGCAGTTCAGAAACCCTTTCTTTGGAGAATCCAGAAACGGATATTTCGAGCCATATACAGGCATATAAGAATTAGCAGTAAGACTGCGTCTAAAACACAGGAGAAACACATATTTCAAACTGCTCTGTTGTATGTTGGTTCATCGTAGGAAGTTGCATCTATGTTTAGATTCAGCGAGTTGGAAACAAGTTTCTTCTAAAAGCTGCGTTTATATATTCCAGAGTAAATGAGACTATAAGCTGTAATGAGAAAATATCTCGCTCTAAAACAGAAACGGAGCTCTCTAGCAGAATGGTTGTCAAGGTGTACATTCATCTTACAGAGTAAAAGTGATGTGTGTATGTAGCAGTTGAGAAACACTTTCATTGGAGAATCCAGAAATGGATATTTCCAGCCATTTACAGGCATATAAGAATTAGCAGTTAGACTGCGTCTAAAACACAGAAGGAATACATATTTCAAACTACTCTGCTGTGTGTTTGTTCATGTTGTGAAGATGCGTCTATGTTTACATTCAGCAAATTGTAAACACGTCTTCCAAAAGCTGCGTTTGGATATTCCAGAGTGAATGGGAGTATATGGGTAATGAGAAATAGCTCCCTCTAAAACATAAACGGAGTTATCTAGCAGAACAGTTGTCAGGTGTACATTCAACTTACAGAATTAAACTGATGTGTGTCTCTAGCAGTTCAGAAACCGTTTCTTTGGAGAATCCAGTAATGGAAATTTCCAGCCATATACAGGCATTTAAGAATTAGCAGCAAGACTGCGTCTAAAACACAGGAGAAACGAATATTTCAAACTTCTCTGCTGTGTGTTAGTTCACTTTAGGAAGTTGCATCTATGTTTGGATTCAGAGAGTTTGAAACACGTTTCTTCTAAAAGCTACGTTTCAATATTCCACAGTGAATGGGAGTATAAGCTGCAATGAGAAATATCTGGCTCTGAAACAAAAACGGAGCTCTCTAGCAGAATGCATGTCAAGGTGTACATTCAACTTACAGAGTAAAACTGACGTGTGTATGTTGCAGTTCAGAAACACTTTCTCTGGAGAATCCAGAAATGCATATTTCCAGCCATATACAGACAGGTAATAATTAGCAGTAAGACTGTCTTAAACACAGAAGAAACACATATTTCAATCTGCTCTGTTGTGTGTTTGTTCACCTCAGGAAGTTGCATCTATGTTTACATTCAGCGATTTGGAATCATGTTTCTTCTAAAAGCTGTGTTTGGATATTCCAGGGTGGATGGGAGTATAAGCTGTAATGAGAAATATCTGGTTCTAACACAAAACGGAGCAATGCAGCAGAATGGTTTTCAAGGTGTACATCTAACTTACAGAGTAAAACTGATGTGTGTATGTAGCAGTTGAGAAACAGTTTTTTTGTATAATCCAGAAATGGATATTTCCAGCAATATACATTCACATAAGAATTAGCAGTAAGACTGCGTCTAAAACACAGAAGAAATACATATTTCAAACTCATATGCTGTGTGTTTGTTCACCTTAGTAAGTTGCTTCTATGTTTACATTCAGAGTTGGAAACACAATTCTTCTAAAACCTGCAATTGGATATTCCAGAGTGAATGGGAGTATATCGTGTAATGAGAAATATCTGGCTCTAAAACAAAAACGGAGCTATCTAGCAGAATGACTGTGAGGGTGTACATTCAATTTACAGAGTTAAACTGATGTGTTTCTCTAGCAGTTCAGAAACCCTTTCTTTCGAGAATCCAGGAACGGATATTTCCAGCCATATACAAGCATATAAGAAATAGCAGTAAGACTGTGTCTAAAACACAGTAGAAACGAATATTTCAAACTGCTCTGCTGTGTGTTGGTTCATCTTAGGAAGTTGCATCTATGTTTACATTCAGCGAGTTGGAAACACGTTTCTTCTAAGAGCTGCGTTTGGATATTCCAGAGTGAATGGGAGTATGTGGTGTAATGAGAAATATCTGGCTGTAAAACAAAAACGGAGCTCTCTAGCATAATGGTTGTCAAGGTGTACATTCAACTTACAGAGTTAAATTGATTTCTCTCTCTAGCAGTTCGGAAACCTTTTCCTTGGAGAACCCAGAAACGCATATTTCCAGCCATATACAGGCATATAAGAATTAACTGTAAGACTGTGTCTGAAACACGGAAGAAACACATATTGCAAACTGCTCTGCTCTGTGTCTGTTCACCTTAGGAGGTTGTGCCTATGTTTACTTTCAGCGAGTTGGAAACACGTTTGTTCTAAAAGCTGCGTTTGGTTATATCAGAGTGAAAGGGAGTATGTGGTGTGAAGAGAAATATATTGCACTAAAACAAAAACGTAGTTATCTAGCAGAATGGTTGTCAAGGTGTGCATTCAACTTACAGAGTTAAACAGATGTGTGTCTCTGGCAGTTCAGAAACCCTTTCTTTGCAGAATCCAGAAACGGATATTTCCTGCCATATACATGCATATAAGACTTACCAGTAAGACTGTGTCTAAAACACAGGAGAAAAGAATAATTCAAACTACTCTGCTGTATGTTTGTTTATCTTTGGAAGTTGCATCTATGTTTAGATTCAGCGAGTTGAAAACATGTTACTTCTGAAAGCTGCGTTTGGATACTCCAAAGTGAATGGGAGTATAAGCTGTAATGAGCAATATCTCGCTCTAAAACAAAATCGGATCTCTCCAGCAAATGGTTGTGAAGGTGTACATTCAACTTACAGAGTAAAATTGTTGTGTGTATGTAGCAGTTCAGAAACACTTTCTTTAGAGAATCCAGAAATGGATATTTCCAGCCATATTCAGGCACATAAGAATTAGCAGTTAGATTGCATCTAAAAAACAGAGAAAACACATATTTCAAACTGCTCTGCTGTGTGTTAGTTCACTTTAGGAAGTTGCGTCTATGTTTACATTCAGCGAGTTGGAAACACGTTTCTTGTAAAAGCTGCGTTTGGATATTCCAGCGTGAATGGGAGTATACGGTGTAATGAGAAATATGTGGCTCTACAGCAAAAACGGAGCTATCTAGCAGAATGGTTGTCAAGGTGTACATACAACTTACAGAGGTAAACTGATGTGTGTCTGTAGCAGTTCGGAAACTCTTTCTTTGGAGAATCCAGAAACAAGTATTTCCATCCATATGCAGGTATATAAGAATTAGCAGTAAGACTGCATCTAAAAAACAGGAGAAATGAATATTTCAAACTGCTCTCCTATGTGTTGGTTCATCTTAGGAAGTTGCATCTATGTTTAGATTCAGCGAGTTGGAAACAAGTTTCTCTTAAAGCTGCGTTTGGATATTCCAGAGTGAATGGGGGCATAAGCTATAATGAAAAGTATCTGGCTCTAAAATAAAAACGGGGCTCTCTATCAGAATCGTTGTCAAGGTGTACATTCAACTTACAGAGTAAAACTGATGTGTGTATGTAGCAGTTCAGAAACACTTTCTTTGGAGAATCCAGAAACAGATATTTCCAGCCATATACTGGTATATAAGAATTAGAAGTAATACTGCGTCTAAAACACAGGAAAAACAAATATTTCAAACTGCTCTGCGGTGTGTTGATTCATCTTAGGAAGTTGCATCTATGTTTAGATTCAGCGAGGTGGAAACACATTTCTTCTAGAAACTTCATTTATATATACTAGAGTGATTGGGACTATAAACTGTAAGGAGAAATATCTGAAACTAAAACAACAAAAGAGCTCTCTATTAGAATGGTTGTCAAAGTGTACATTCAACTTACAGAGTTAAACTGATGTGTGTCTCTAGCAGCTCAGAAACCCTTTCTTTGGAGAATCCAGAAATGGATATTTCTAACCATATACAGGCATATAAGATTTAGCAGTAAGACTGCGTTTAAAAAACAGGAGAAACCAATATTTCAAACTGCTCTGCTGTGTGTTGGTTCATCTTAGGAAGTTGCATCTATGTTTAGATTCAGCGAGTTGGAAACACCTTTCTTCTAAAAGCTGCGTTTGGATATACCACAGTGAATGGGATTACAAACTAATGAGAAATATCTGGCTCTAACACAAAAATGGAGCGCTCTAGCAGAATATTTGTCAAGGTGTACATTCAACTAACAGAGTAAAACTGATGTGTGTATGTTGCAGTTCAGAAACACTTTCTTTGGATAATGCAGAAATGCATATTGCCAGCCATATAGAGGCATATAAGAATTAGCAGTATGACTGTGTCAAAAACGCAGGAGAAACGAATATTTCATGCTGCTCTGCTGTGTGTTGGTTCATCTTAGGAAGTTGCTTCTATGTTTAGATTCAGCGAGTTGGAAACACATTTCTTCTAAAAGCTGCGATTGGATATTCCACAGTGAATGGGAGTATAAGCTGTAATAAGAAATATCTGGCTCTAAAACAAAAACGGAACTCTCTAGCAGAATGGTTGTCAAGGTGTACATTCAACTTACAGAGACAAACGTGTGTGTGCATGCAGCAGTTCAGAAACTCTTTCTTTGGAGAATCCAGAAATGGATATTACCATCCATATACAGCATATTAGAATTTGCAGTAAGACTGCATCTAAAACAAAGAAGAAACGCATATTTCAAACTGATCTGCTGTGTGTTGGTTCACCTTAGGAAGTTGCATGTATGTTTAGATTCAGCTAGTTGGAAACAAGTTTCTTCTAAAAGCTGCATTAGGATACTCCAGAGTGAGAGGGAGTATATGATGTAATGAGAATTATCTGGCTCTAAAACAAAAACGTAGCCATATAGCAGAATGGTTGTCAAGGTGTACATTCAATATAGAAATTTAAACTGACATGTGTATGTAGTAGTTCAAAAACCGTTTCTTTGGAGAATCCAGAAACGGATATTTCCAGCCGTATACAGGCGTAAAAGAAATAGCAGTAAGACTGGGTCTGAAACACAGGATAAACGTATATTTCAAACTGCTCTCCTGTGTGTTGGTTCACCTTAGGAAGTTGCATCTATGTTTATATTCAGCGAGTTGGAAACACATTTCTTCAAAAAGCTGCGTTTGGCTATTCCACAGTGCATGAGAGTATAAGCTGTAATGAGAAATATCTGGCTCTAAAACAAAAATGGAGCTCTCTAGCAAAATGGTTGTCAAGGTGTACATTCAACTTACAGAGGTAAACTGATGTCTGTATGTAGCAGTTCAGAAAAACTTTCTTTGGAGAATCCAGAAACTTATATTTCCAGCCATATACAGCATATAAGAATTTGCAGAAAGACTGCATCTAAAACAAAGAAGAAACTCATATTTCAAACTGCTCTGCTGTGTGTTGGTTCAACTTAGGAAGCTGTATCTATGTGTAGATTCAGCGAGTTTGAAACACATTTCTTCCAAAAGCTGCGTTTGGATATTCTGGAGTGAATAAGAGTATATGGTGTAATGAGAAATCTCTGGCTCTAAAACAAAAAAGGAGCTATCTAGCGGAATGGTTGTCAAGGTGTACATTCAACTTACAGAGTTAAACTGACGTGTGTCTCTAGCAGGTCAGAAACCCTTTCTTTGGAGAAATGAGAAACGGATATTTCCAACCATATACCGGCATATAAGTATTATTAGTAAGACTGCGTGTAAAACGCAGAAGAAACGTCTAGTTCACACTGCTCTGCTGTGTGTTGGTTCAACTTAGGAAGCTGTATCTATGTGTAGATTCAGCGAGTTGGAAACACGTTTCTTCTAAAAGCTCCGTTTGGATATTCCAGAGTGAATGGGAGTATATGCAGTAATGAGTAATATCTGGCTCTAAAACAAAAACGGAGCTATCTAGCAGAATGGTTTTAAAGGTGTAAATTCATCTTACAGAGTTAAACTGATGTGTGTCTCTAGCAGTTCAGAAACCCTTTCTTTGGAGAATCCAGAAACGTATATTTCCAGCCATATACAGTCATATAAGAATGAGCAGTAAGACTGCCTCTAAATCACAGGAGAAACGAATATTTCAAACTGCTCTGCTGTGCGTTGGTTCATCTTAGGAAGTTGCATGTATGTTTAGATTCAGCGAGTTGAAAACACGTTTCTTATAAAGCTGCGTTTGCATAGAGTGAATGGGACTATGAGCTGTAATGGTGAATATCTGGCTCTAAAACAAAAACGGAGCTATCTAGCAGAATGGTTCTCAAGGTGTACATTCAACTTATTGAGTTAAACTGATGTGTATATGTAGCAGTTCACAAACTCTTTCTTTCAAGAAATGAGAAAAGGATGTTTCCAGCTGTATACATGCATATAAGAATTAGTGGTAAGACTGTGTGTGAAACACAGGATAAACATATATTTCAAACTGCTCTGCTGTGTGTTGGTTCACCTTTGGAAGTTACATCTATGTTTAGATTCAGCGAGTGGAAACACGTTTCTTCTAAAAGTTGCATTTGGATATAACTGAGTGAATGGGTGTATATGCTGGAATGAATAATATCGGGCTCTAAAGCAAAAACGGAGCTATTCAGCAGAAATGTTGTCAAGGCGTACATTCAACTTACAGAGCAAAAGTGATGTGTGTATGCAGTTGTTGAGAAACCCCTTCTATGGAGAATCCAGAAACGTATATTTCCAGCCTTATACAGGCACATAAAATTTGCAGTAAGACTGTGTCTGAAACGCAGAAGAAACGCATATTTCAAACTGCTCTGCTGTGTGTTGGTTCACCTTAGGATGTTGCATCTATGTTTAGATTCACCGAGTTGGAAACCCGTTTCTTCTAAAAGCTGCGTTTGGATATTGCAGAGTGAATGGGTGTATATGCAGTAATGAAAAATATCTGACTCTAAAACAAAAACGGAGCTATCTAGCTGAATGGCTGTCAAGGTGTAAATTCTATTTACAGAGTTAATCTTATGTGTGTATGCAGCAGTTCAGAAAACCTTTCTTTGGAGAATCCAGAAACGGATATTTCCAGCCATATACAGGCATATGAGAACTAGCAGTAAGACTGCGTCTAAAACGAAGGAGAAACTTATATTTAAAACTGCTCTGCTGTGTGTTGGTTCACCTTATTAAGTTGCATCTATGTTTAGATTCAGCGAGTTGGAAACCCGTTTCTTCCAAAAGCTGGGTTGGATATTCCAGGGTGAATGGGAGTATAGACTATAATGAGAAATATCTGGCTCTAAAACAAAAACGGAGCTCTCTAGCAGAATGGTTGTCAAGGGGTACATTCAACTTACAGAGCTAACATGATGCGTATATGTAGCAGTTCAGAAAACCTTTCTTTGTAGAAACCAGAAATGGATATTTCCAGCCATATACAGGCGTATAAGAATTAGCAGTAAGACTGCGTCTAAATCACAGCAGAAACGTATCTTTAAAACTTCCCGGAGGGTCAAAGATGGCCATAAAAGAACAGCTCTGTATTGCAGCTCCCAGTGATAGCACAGAGTGTGAGTGGATGCCGCATTTTTATTGCCCATAGACTATGAAATTCCCAGGTGAAGGAGCTCCACAGCTCACCAGCGTGGCTGTTTTGGCCAGTGCAGCTGTGCCGGCCGGCGCCGTTGCTTTGCCCCATGCGGCTGCTTTGTATGCACCCTGGAATAGCGATTCTCCATACAAAATATACTGTTCCAGGGGCTCTTTTGATCTGGCAATTGGAGCCACGGGAATTCACCCATTTGTCTGTTTAAAAAGGGGACTGAGCAGAGAACCAGGACAGTAGATTCCAGGGCAAAAAAAAAAAAAAAGAAAGCACCACAAACCTCAGTGCCACTGTTGAAGCCAGCACAGTGAGTGGCTTCAGGTGAAAACAAACAGACCCCGGTGCCTCTTCAACAGGCGACTGGAACACAAACATAAAAAAGGCTCTGAGGTAGGGAGCCAGGCGATCAAGCTCGGCTAGTCACACCACCACAAAAGAACAGCAATGAGAAACTCTGGATTGAGACTTTCACAGCAAGCGCAGCTGAATCCGGGCAGTCCAGCTCTGTGGGAGAGGGGCGTCTGCCATTAGCGAGGCAGTCCGCCATGACGGAGGTAGTCAAACAATGCTGATGCAGCCTGCCGTTGCCAAGGAAACCCGCCATTGCTGAGGCAGCCCACCGTTGCCGAGGCAGCCCACCATTGCCTAGGCAACCCACCATAGCTGAGGCAGCCCGCGGTTACCAAGGAAACCCAACACAGCAGAGAGACTCCGCCTCCACAGAGGTGGGCCACCATCACCAAAGCAGTTCTAACTACACACATATAAACAGGACTGCAGGGAAGTTCACTTGGCAGCTGGGCGGAGCCCAAAGCAGCTCAGCAAAGCCTCTACAGGCTGACAGTGAATAGGCTGCCTCCTTGCTGGGCAGGGCAGGTCTGAAGGAAAAAAAAAGAAGGCAGCAGCATACGGAAACTCATAAATAAAGCCCTAAATCCCTGGGACAGAGCACCTGGGAACAAAAAGCAGTTTATGACTTCTGCTGCAGCAGACCTAAACGTACCTGCCCAGAAACTCTGAATGAACAACAGAGCTCACAGCTCACCATTTGAGCTCCTATAAAGAAGAGACCATCTCCTCAAGCAGCTCCCTGACCCCTATATATCCAAAGAGACACCTCATAAAGGAGAGATCAGATTGACACTAGGCGAGTATCCTTCTGGGAAAATGATAGCAGAAGAAGAAAACTGGTAACAATCCCTACTGTTCAGCAGCTGCTGCAGGTGAACCCCAGGCAAGCAGGGCCTGGAGTGAACCTCAGCAGACCTACAGCAGAGGGGCCAGAGTGTCAGAAGGAAAACCAAGAAACAGAAATAACCTCATCATCAACAAACAGAGTGTCAATCTGAAAGATTTGAGACCCAATCTGAAAGCCAGCAACTACAAAGTCGACAGGTGGATAAATCCTTAAAGATGGGAAGAAACCAGCGCAAAAAGGATGAAAACACACGAAACCAGAACACCACTTCTACTACAAGGGATGAGAACTCCTCAGCAGCAAGGGAACAAGGTGGGAGGGAGAACGAGTGTGATGAAACGACAGAATCAGACTTCAGAAGGTGGGTAGTGAAAACTTCTGCGAACTTGAATAACATGTTCTAACCAAATGCAAAGAAATTAAGAACCTTGAAAAAAGATTTGACGAAATCCAAAGAGAATGGAGAAAATAGAAAGGAATATAAGTGAATTGATGTAGCTGAAAAATGCAACATGAGAAATTCGTGAAGCATGCACAAGTATCAACAGCCCAATTGACCAAGCAGAAGAAAGCATATCAGAGGTCGAAGATCAACTCAATGAAATAAAACGGGAAGGCAAGACTGGAGAAAAAAGGGTAAAAAGGAATGAAAAATGTATCCAAGAAATGTGGGACTATGTGAAAAGGCATAATCTACGTTTGATAGGCTCACCTGAATGCGACGAAGAGAATGAATCCAAGCTGGAAAATATTCTTCAGGATATTATCCAGGACAACTTCCCCAACCTACCAAGGCAGGCAAACATTCAAATCCAGGAAATACAGAGAACACCACAAAGATATTCGTCAAGAAGAGCAACCCCAAGGCACATAATCGTCAGATTCACCAGGATTGAAATGAAGGAGAAAATACTAATGGCAACCAGAGAGAAAGGTCAGGTTACCCTCAAAGGGAAGCCCATCAAACTCACAGCAGATCTCTCAGCAGAAACCCAACAAGCCAGAAGAGAGTGGGGTCAATATTCAACATCTTAAAGAAAAGAACTTTCAACCCAGAATCTCCTATCCAGCCAAACTAAGCTTCATAAGTGAAGGAAAAATAAAATCATTCGGGAAAATGCAAGTACTCAGAGATTTCGTCACCACCAGGCCAGCTCTACAAGAGCTCCTGAAAGAGGCTCTACACATATAAAGGAACAACAAGCACCAGCTCAACTAAAGGGCAAAACAGCCAGCTAGCACCAAAATGGCAGTATCAAATTCACACATAACAATATTAACCCTAAATGTAAATTGACTAAATGACCCAATCAAAAGACACAGACTGGCAAATTGGATAAAACGACAAAACCCATCAGTGTGCTCTTACCAGGAAACCCATCTCGCATGCAAGGATACACAAAGGCTCAAAATAAAGGGATGGAGGAAGATTTACCAAGCAAATGGAGAGCAAAAAAAGCAGGAGTTGCAATTCTCATCTCTGACAAATTAGACTTTAAAGCAACAAAGATCATAAGGGACAAAGAGGGACATTACATAATGGTAAAAGGATCAATGCAACAAGAAGAGCTAACGATCCTAAATATATACACACCCAATACAGGAGCACCCAGATACATAAGGCAAGTTTTTAATGACTTACAAAGAGACTTAGACTCCCACACAATAATAGTGGGAGGCTTTAACACCCCATTGTCAATATTAGACAGATCAACCAGACAGAAAATAAACAAGAATATCCAGGACTTGAACTCAGACCTGGACCAAGCAAACCTAATAGACATTTACAGAACTCTCCACCCCATATCCACAGAATATACATTCTTCTCAGCACCACATCACTCCTACTCTAAAACTGACCACATATTAGGGAGTAAATCACTCCTCAGCAAATGGAAAAGAACTGAAACTGTAGCAATCTCTCAGACCACAGTGCAATCAAGGTAGAAGTCAGAATTCAAAAACTAACCCAGAACCACACAGCTTCTTGGACACCGAACAACTTGCTCTTCAATGTTGACTGGATAAACAGTGAAATGAAGACAGAAATAAAGATGTTCTTCAAAACCAAAGAGAATGAAGACACAATATACCAGAATCTCTGAGACACATTTAAAACAGTCTCTACAGAAAAATATATAGCAATAAGTGCCCACATGAGAAGGAAGGGGAGATAAAAAATTGACAACCTAACATCAAAACTGAAAGAGCTAGAGGAGCAAGATCCAAAAACCTCAAAGTCTAGCAGAAGATAAGAAATAGCTAAGATCAGAGCAGAACTGAAGGAAATAGAGACACAAAAAACCCTTCAAAAAATCAATAATCCAGGAGCTGGTTTTTTGAAAAGATCAACAAAATAGAAAGACCACTAGCCAGATTAATAAAATGAAGAGAGAGAATAACCAAATTGTGAAATAAAAAACGATAAAGGGGATATCACCACAGATTCCACAGAAATTCAAACCATCATCAGAGATTATTACAAACAACTTTACGCACGCAAACTAATAAACCTGGAAGAAATGGATAAATTCTTGGACACTTCCCTACTCCCAAGCGTAAACCAGGAAGAATCAGAAATCCTGAACAGACCCATAACAAAGTCTGATGTTGAGGCAGCAATGAAGAGCTTACCACCCAAAAAAAGCCCAGGTCAAGATGGGTTCACAGCCGAATTCTACCAGACATACAAAGAGGAGCTGGTACCATTTTTTCTGAAACTATTCCAAACAATACATAAAGAGGGAATTCTTCCCAAATCATTTTATGAGACCAACAACATCCTGATTCAAAAACCCGGCAGAGACTCAACATGAAAAGAAAACCTCAGGCCAATATCCATGATGAACATAGATGCAAAAATCTTCAATAAAATACTGACAAGCCGATTGCAACAGCACCTCAAAAAGCTTCTCCACCATGATCAAGTAGGCTTCATCCCGGGGATGAAAGGCTGGTTCAACATACTCAAGTCTATAAACGAAATTCACCACATAAACAGAACCAAAGACAAAAACCACATGATTATCTCAATTGATGCAGAGAAGGCCTTGGACAAAATTCAACAGCCTTTTATGCTAAAAAGCCTCAATAAGCTAGGTATCGATGGAATGTATCTCAATATAATAAAAGCTATGTATGACAAACCAACAGGCAATATCATCCTGAATGGGCAAAAACTGGAAGCATTCCCCTTGAAATGTGGCACCAGACAAGGATGCCCTCTCTCACCACTGCTATTCAATACAGTATTAGAAAATCTAGCCAGAGCAATCAGGCAAGAAAAAGAAATAAAGGGCATTCAAACAGGAAAGGAGGAAGTCAAATTGTCTCTATTTGCAGACGACATGATTGTATATCTAGAAGACCCCATCGTCTCAGTCCCAAATCTCCTGAAACTGATAAGCAAGTTCAGCAAAGTCTCAGCATACAAAATCAATGTGCAAAATTCACATGCATTCCTATACACCAATAACAGACTTAAAGAGAGCTAAATCAAGAACACAGTTCCATTCACAATTGCCACAAAGAGAATAAAATACCTAGGAATACAACTAACAAGTAACGTAAAGGACCTCTTCAAGGAGAACTACAAGCCACTGCTCAACGAAATAAGAGAGGACACAAACAGATGGAGAAACATTCCATGTTCATGGTTAGGAAGAATCAATATCGTGAAAATGATCATACTGCCCAAAGTAATTTACAGATTGAAAGCTATCCCCTTCAAGCTACCAATGACCTTCTTCGCAGATCTGAAAAAAACCACCTTAAAGTTCATATGGAACCAAAAGAGAGCCAGCATAGGCAAGTGAATTCTAAGCAAAAAGAACAAAGCGGGAGGCATCACACTACCGGACTTCAAACTATACTACAGGGCTACCGTAAGCAAAAC